CTGACGACAGAGACCAGTTTCTCTGCAGAAAACGACAGGGTCGGTGGGGGGTGGTGAACTCGATGGCCTGCCCAGAACCTGCCCAGAACCCTCCTCAGCCTCCACCCCCTAGATCTCCAAGAATTGCCCATCATGGAGTTGGCAACCCTATCTTTTTTCCTCCTCTGGAGCTTTGGAGGTGCAGCCTTTGGGTCCACATTATCAGGTTGCCAGCAATGTTCCTTCTAAGGTGTGGAGTCCGGTGAGCAAAAGTTCTACTTTGTGAACTCCTGGCGTGAAAGTTGTGAGCCAGCGATTGGGCTCCTGCATCAATCAGTTTGCTCTGGAGCCCCATCCTTCCTGAGCTAAGACAATAACCTGTGAGCTGGAGGCTAAAGAATTGTGAGCTAGCTCACACTCACTCGGTTTAGAGGGAACACTGGTTGCCAGCCTCCAAGTACGACCTGGAGATCTCCTGGGATTTCAACCGATCTCTACAGGAAAGAGATCGGCTCAGTTTGCCTGGAGAAAATGGCTGCTTTGGAGGGTGGAGTCCGTTGGGGTCAGGAAGCGGTTGTTCTTCAGACCAGCCTGGCCAGGGATCCTGGAGCCCCCCCCTCTTCTGGGCGTGGAGCAGGGGTCACTGGGGGTGTGTAAGGGGGGGCGGTGTTTGTGAACTCCTTGCAGTGTGCAAGTGGGCTGGACTAGATGACCCTCCCAGCTCCATGATTCTATGCCAGTATACTTGGCTGAGGTCCCTCCCCTCCCCCAACCCTCTACTCCCAAATCTCCAGGAATTTCCCCAACCCAGAGCCAACAACCAAGGGACTGTAGCGGCGGGGGGACTTGAGGGGTGTGAGGTCTCCCTCCCTCCGCTTCGTTTCAAAGGGGTAGGTTTTAATCGAGTTGAATCGGGGAGGGGCTCAGGGCCCCCCTCCACTTGGGAATCCCTCCCTCACCTTTTCTGAGGCCTGCATTTCGTCTCCCCCCCACCCCAGCTGCTGCTCCTTCCTCTGCAGGTGCCTTTTTGGTCCTGAGCTTCATCTCTAGTTGGGGTGCTTGCCCAGGGGTCATTTCCTGCAGGAGCGCACAGGAGCGGAGCTCCGGCAGTAAAGAGCCCAGGGGGTGGGCACATGCAGCAAGCCCCGCCCCCTGCTCCCAGCAGCCCTCAGTCAGAGCAAGAAGCAGCCAGGTAAGCTTCAGAGCCCCCCCCCCGGCCCCCTGGTCCAAAACAGTCCAGTGGCACCTTTAAGACCAAGTTTTATTCAGGTACAAGCTCTCCCTCCTCTGTGAGGACAGATCTGCACGTCCCCCCCCCCCCATAGCTAGCAATCCAAAACAGTCCAGTGGGGCCTGAGCAGTGGGTGTTGCCTTCTGACACACTTCCGGTGATGTCAGGGGGTGTGGCATATGCAAATAAGTTATGCAAATGAGTTATGCTAATGAGCTCCTGCACCTCTTTTTCTACTAAATGACCCCTGTGCTTGCCGATGGCTGGATGCTCAGGATCAGACCTCAAAACACGTCCTTTGCTTGTTCACACTGGTTTGCTCACGTTCCCTGCAGTGACACGGTTGGGATTGCCAACTCCAAGCTGGGACTCTAGAGGGGAGGGGCTGTGGCTGAGGTGCAGAACATCTGCCTCGCATGCAGAAGGCCCCAAGTTCAATCCCCAGCAGCATCTCCAGGTAAAAGGACCAAGCTGTAGGGGATGGGAAAGACCTCTCTGCCCGAGACCCTGGAGAGCGGCTGCCAGTCTGAGTAGACAAGGCTGATCTTGATGGGCTGAGGGTCTGATTCAGTATAAGGTAGCTTCATGTATGCTCAGCTTCTCTCACCTTGAAAACCCTATCAGGTTGCAACGACATGGCTGCAAGTTGAAACGAAGAACGTAAGAACTTAAGAGAAGCTAGTGCTGGATCAGGCCAGTGGCCCATCCAGTCAAACACTCTGTGTCACACAGTGGCCGAAAATACCAGGGGCCCTCAGGAGGTCCAGCAGTGGGGCCAGGAGGGCACCAGGAGCCCTCCCACTGTTGACCCCACCCCCAAGCACCAAGAAGACAGAGCATCCCTTGCCCCAGACATAAGGACATGAGAGAAGCCAGTGTCGGATCAGGCCAGTGGCCCATCCAGTCCAACCCTCTGTGTCACACAGTGGCTGAAAATACCAGGTGCCCTCAGGAGGTCCACCAGTGGGGCCAGGAGGGCACCAGGAGCCCTCCCACTATTGCCCCCCTCCCCTAAGCACCAACAAAACAGAGCGTGTTGCCTAGGGCTGCCAAATGGAGGCGGGGGCGGGGAAAACCCCACTTTGGAGGCCCGATTTCGCCGCGGCAGAATAGGGCCCCGGGGGGGACTCCGCCCCCCGAAGCTGCGTCACCAGAGGTGATGCATGACGTAGAGCACATTGGGGGCGTGGCCCAGATCGTGGGGGGGGGGAACCCGCGGCAGCTCCTGAACCGAGGCAACCCTCCCCCGCCGGTGAGTCAGAACGACTTGGCAACCCTACTGTTGCCCCCACCCCCAGGCACCAAGAAGACAGCGCATCCCTTGCCCCAGACATAAGAGAAGCCAAAGCTGGATCAGGCCAGTGGCCCATCCAGTCCAACACTCTGTGTCACACAGTGGCCAAAAATACCAGGTGCCATCAGGAGGTCCAGCAGTGGGGCCAGGACATTAGAAGCCCTCCCACTGTTGCCCCCCCCAAGCACCAAGAAGACAGAGCATCACTTGCCCCAGAGCCCCTATCTATACCTTGTGGCTAATAGCTACTGATGGACACTCTGTCTGTCACACAGGGGCCAAAAATACCAGGTGCCCTCAGGAGGTCCAGCAGCGGGGCCAGGAGGACATTAGAAGCCCTCACACTGTTGACACACACACCCTGCAGGCCCCAAGAAGACAGGGCATCCCTTGCCCCAGACTGAGGCAACTTGATGGCACGTTCCACCCCCACAGATATAGAGGGACATGTGCCCGGTTTGGTTTTCTCTGGGGACAAAACACATCGTTATCAAATCTGCAGATGACACAAAGCTGGGTGGGATGGCTCATTCTGAAGAAGACAGAGTCAGGATTCAAAATGATCTAGATAGGCTGGAACGGTGGGCTGAGACCAATAAAATGAATTTCAATAGAGAGAAGTGCAAAGTCCTGCACTTAGGTGCAAAAAATCAAAGGCACAGATATAGAATGGGAGGGACTTGGCTTGACAGCAGCACCTGTGAAAAGGATCTGGGTGCTCCGGTTGATCACAAGCTAAACATGAGCCTGCAGTGCGATGTGGCTGTGAAGAAAGCTAATGCGATCTTAGGATGCATGAACAGCAGCATCGTGTCCAGATCACAGGAGGTGGTAGTTCCGCTCTATCCTGCTATGGTCAGGCCTCACCTGGAGTCCCGTGTCCAGTTTTGGGCACCACATTTGAGGAAGGATGTTGACAAGCTCGAGCGTGTCCAGAAGAGGGCAACCAGGATGGTGAGAGGTTGGAGTCCAAGTCTTACGAGGAAAGGCTGAAAGAGTTGGGTCTGCTTAGCCTGGGAAAGAGAAGGCTTAGAGGGGGCATGATTGCAGTCTTCAAGTATCTGAAAGGCTGTCATGTAGAAGATGGAGCAGATCTATTCTCTCTTGCTCTGGATTGCAAGACTAGGTCTAGTGGGTGGGGATGACAAGGGAGTCGTTACCTGCTATATACCAGGAGAAACTTCCTAACTGTAAGAGTGGAAGCGAAAAGCGGTGGGAGATATCCATGAGTATTTAAGCAACTAAACAGCATGTAAGCAATTTTCAGAGCCGGGGAGAAAACGATTTTATATTGGAATTAAAGTGTAAAAATGGCGGACACTCCAAAAAAGTCAGCAAAAACAACTCCGAGAAGAAGGGAAGTTATAGAACTCATAGCAGAAGCCATCAAGCCAATTCTTGAGCAACTTGTTGGTATTAACCATCAGTTTGCCAAGATAAATCAACAACTCGTGTCTCGGCAGCTGCATTTGGCAACAATAGAAGAAAAGATGGAACAGAGGGCTGTCAAAGCAAAAGAGATGGACACTAAAACTAATAGCGATTTCAAAGAGACAAGGAGGGAAAGCATGAGAGAAACAGAAAAGATTTACAAGGACTTAACTCCTTCCCGGCAGATGTTTTTAGAAAGTGTTGTCTTAAATTCGGTTGATAGAAAAGAGCTTGAACCTGACCTCAAGATCAAGAAGCCTGTGAGATGCCACTGGGCCCCGAGGATGAGACCAAGAAGGAAGAGGCTTAAGATTGGCGGTGTTATCCCTTTGGAGACGGAGGAGGGTTGCAGAATTTCAAGTGAACGTCTAAAAAGCCATTAAGACTTTAGAGAGAATTAGCATAGATGTAAAGGCGGAAGGACTCTGAAAATTGCCCTTATGAAGAGAGCTAGAGGAGATGCTCTGGAAATCTTCTCATAACAAGTAATAAACTAACACATAAGCTTAGAAAGACAGGATCTCACAAAGTATATTGTTTATTAACAGGGTTTTTTCCCCATTACTAACTGCAGTCTAACAGGGTAATGATCTCCTACTCTTGGGTTTTTAGTTTGGTGTGGGTTACTTTCCTTTCTCCTTAGTTGTAGTTCCCCTTCCCTTTTTTCTTTTCTTTGTAGTTTATGTAGTATTATAAAAAATTAAAAAATCCCCTCCGGGGGTCTTTAAAAAAAAAAGAATGCCTTCCTGGACAATTCTGGTTTGCACATTCTGTGGGATGGCATAGCTACGTGGGAGCCCTCCTGATGTCCTTAGGCAGGCTGTGCCACAATTTGGGGGGCCCCACAGAGAAGGCGGTGAGCAGGCAGTGGCTCATCTTGCCCATCTGGAGGGAGGAGGAACCTTCAAAAGGCTTTGCCCAGGGAGGGGAAGTTGTCCTGGCAGAGCATAGCAGGAGAGCCGGTCCTGCGGGGGATGTGGGTCCCGGGACAGATGTGAAGGGCTCTGTAAGTAACCAGCAGGACCTCTCCTTGCTGCTGTTGGGGATCGGCCACCCAGTGCAGTATCAGAAGCGCTTCCCCAAGAACAGGCGTGTGATCCCTTCCCGAATCAGCTTCGTTTTCACCCCGTAGATGATGGGGTTCAGCATGGGGGGGACGATCACGTAGAGGTTGGCCAGCAGGATGTGGACGTGGCGGGGGATCTGGTGACCAAACCGGTGGGTAATGAAGGAGAAGAAAGCAGGGGTGTAGAACATCAGTATGACACAGATGTGAGACCCACAGGTGTCCAGGGCCTTGTGGCGGGCTTCTTTGGTCGGGAGCCGGAAGATGGCACGGACGATCAGCACGTAGGACGCACAGATGAGCATGGAGTCGATCCCCAGAGTGGACATAGCAGCGGTCAAGCCATACACCACATTGACAGTGATGTCGGCGCAGGCCAGGCGCGCCACCCCCATGTGCTCGCAATAGGTGTGCGGGATGACCTGGCGTCCGCAGTAGGGCAGCCTGCGCAGGAGGAAAACCAGGGTCACCACGGCCGAGAAAGCCCGCAGGAAAGACGCCAGCCCTACCCTCCGGATCACCGCGTGCGTCAAGATGGCCGCGTGCCTCAGGGGGTGGCAGATGGCCACGTAGCGGTCAAAGGCCATAGCCAGCAGAATGGCAGACTCCATGGCGGAGACGAAGTGGATGAAAAACACCTGGGCAAGGCAGGCCCCGAAGGAAATGGCCCGGGAGTGGAACCAGAAGATGCCGAGGGCCTTGGGGACCGTGGTGCAGGACAACACCACGTCGGTGGTCGCGAGCATGGCGAGGAAGACGTACATCGGCTGGTGGAGGGCGGGCTCCAGGGCGATGGCCACCGTTAGCACCAGGTTGCCCAGCAATGCCACAGCGTACATGAGGCACAAGGGGATAGCGAACCAGAGGTGGAACTCCTCCAGGCCCGGGATGCCGATGAGGAAGAACCACTGGGGAACCAGGCTGCTGTGGTTGGCAGCGGGCATGATGGGGTGAGGCGGTACCAGATGTTCGTTTGAGGCTGTCCCTCCTTCTGGTGGAAAAGAGACCAAAGATAGGGTCACCTTCTGCACCGCAAGCGAGGAGCTCCCTTCCTGTGCCAAGCACCAAAAAAAAAAATAGAACCCGAACTTTGCTTGGGAGCGGCTTCGACCTTCTGCTTCCCAGAACTCGAGAAATGGTGGGCTATTTTAAGTCACTCTTCCCGCCTGCCTTTTGCACGACACGGTGGGGTTTCTTGCTGAACTCTGAGTGGCGAGTCCATCAGGCTGGGAGGATTGTACCTTTAAAGCAAATGCATAATGGGTTCATTTATTTTATTTTATTTATAAATTCAATTTATAGCCCACCCTCCCCGCAGCGTGGGCTCAGGGTGGCTCACAAGTAGGCGTAAGCCAACCCATAAAACAAGTTAAAACCATATAAAATCATTTCTACAACGTTACAACAAATTAAGTGCTCTAGATGTTCCAGACTGATCTTCCATAAAGATGACGTCACAAAGATGGTACATCCAATCAGTGCTATCAGTTCCACGTGACACTGTCGTTCTCTCTTCCCAGGGCCAGATGGGAATGGTGGTAACATAACGATGGTACAGTCATGGCGGCTCCTACTTGAAAGCCTGGTGGAAGAGCTCCGTCTTGCAGGCCCTGCGGAACTGCACAAGGTCCCGCAGGGCCCGGATCTCCTCCGGGAGCTCGTTTCACCAGGTAGGAGCCGCCACCGAAAAGTTTGTATTCCATGACAGTCTGTCATCCCTTTCCTTAAAAAGATGGAGGGGGATCACAATGAATACCAATGCAACAGCTTTATAACTGAGAGCAGAGATGAAAAATGCTAGGATAGACCATGAAAACATTCACGAATTTCACGTTACCATCAGACAGTTGTCTATTGCAACATAATCACAGTAAAACAATAAACAGAGTAGAAGCAGTGGTCACAATTCCAAAACTCTAGTAACAATTCAAAGAATTCAAGGAAACCTGGGCTTGAAGCTGTAGCAAGTTGACGTTTTGGACGTTAATGTGTTCACCATAAGTTAAATGTCCCTACATGAATAGATTATGCAAGATGGGCTTCTGTTTTTGTAAGTAAAATTTCTTTCTCTTGTTACCATTGGGCTCAGACCGTCTTTGTAATTGGTTTGCACAGCATTTTTCCCTTCACCAGGAAACGTGGAGAATCAGGGGTTCTGCGAAAAAATGCTTCTGTGCTTCCAAGGAAAATTATACTTTTAACATTTAACCCAACAGAATGTAGCCGAGTCCTGGTCTGTCCTTGACTGGTTACTAGCTGGGCATGCGGGGGCACCGGAGCTGCGAGGGGAGTGGCCTGGGGAGGCATTGTTGGTACACTAATGGGCCACAGGCAGTGTAGGCCTGCATTAGACAAAGCCCAGTTCCATTGTGAACCAGTTTAGATTCGTCTATTAGTGGTGCAAGTGAAGGGCACGTCAGCCTCTCTTTGCCCCCAAGCACACTAAGACACCAGAGGGTGCAACAGATCTAGTAAGATGGACAGATCACGTTCCTCTTCATTCTTCCTGTTATGTACGTGGACCGTCACTAGGGGTCCGCGGCACAGGCAGGAGCTTGGCTCCCTTGAACAATAGGAACATAGGATCCTAGTTCCCCCAGCCCCAACCAATAGCCACTTTGGCGGGAAATTCAAACCCTCCAATGGACTAGAGCTGTGCTGGGTGGGTGTGTATATAGTTGGCCTTGCAGGGCCATTTTAGTTAGTCTGATGTTAAGTACAATAAACGTGTGCAAACGCATGTCGTCATCCGAGTCCTCCATGCGGCAAACCCAGTAGTTTTCACTTCCCCTCTTCTGTTCCTTTGCTGTCTCTTTGTTTACCCAGATTGCTACACTCAGGAGTTTCCTTCCATCCCTCTGCCTTGCATGAACACACAATAAGCAGTTTCTACTGAATCAGACGCCTGGCCCAGCAAGGTCAGGTCTGTCTACTCAGACTGTTCGTGAGCCGACTCTCCAGATTCTAAGGCAGAGGTCTTTCCCGTCACCTCCAACCTGGTCCTTTCAGCCGGCAATGCTGGGGATTGAACCTGGGACCTCCTGCATGCAAAGCAGAGGCTCTGCCACTGAACCAGACCCCCTCCCAGCCGCCTCCTCCTCTTCCAGTCTCTCTTTCTCGCTCCTCCAGCCTCCATGAGAGCAAGATCTGCTCTCAGCATCTCTCCATGCTTTTGGCAGAAAACTCAGCCTATTCTGCCTTCCCCGTTTCAGTGTGGATTGCTTTAACAACAAAGGAGATCCATTTCTACTCTGTCACAACAAGCCATGGTGCGTGGATTTTGTTCCTAAGGCAGCCTCTGCCTTCTCGCGGTCCAAAACCCACTCGGGTCAACAGTGAGAAGAAAATTCATGCAGAATCAGGCCAATTGAAGTGCCTTCCCTTGAAATGCTGGCATGAGTAGGTTTCTGGAGTCAGGAAAGGAGAGCAGGTCTCCAGGAGAGTAATGAACTCAAAACCATGTGGAGGCAGTAGATGCGGGGGACCACGTTCAGTGTATGGTCTACTAAGACCCCCCTAGACCCTTTTCGCACATACGACTGCCAAGACAAGTCTCTCCCATCCTATAATGATGCATTTGATTTTTCCTACCTAAATGCAGAAGTTTATATTTATCCCCGTTAAAATTCATTTTGTTTGTTCTAGCCCAGTTTTCCAGCCTGTCAAGTTCATCCTGTATCCTGACTCTGTCTTCTACTGTATTCGCTACCCCTCCCAATTTACTATTTCCCACAACTCACTGTGACACATTATAAAAGAAACTTCTCAGATTTGCTTCTGTAGCCAGGAGATCTTAGAACTTTATACTAAATTACAGATGCAGTTCTCTGGATTTTTTTTGGAATTGAACACCCATGAAACTGTCCTATATTAAATCAGACTGTCAGGCCATCAAAGTCATAATTGTCTATTCAGGCTGGAAGCGGCTCTCCAGGGCTTTCATATCATATACTACCTGATCCTTTTGGCTGGAGATGCCGAGGACTGAACCGGGGACCTTCTGTTTGCCAAGCAAATGCTCTGCCGCTGAGCCACGGCCCTCCTATTTGAAAATCCATTTGGAATTTACAAGGAAAATAGATGAGCAAGGATTGTTATGCCTTCAAACTCTGTGAGAGGGGCAGATGATAAGACAAGGCAAAGACGTAAATCAAGCTGCCCACAGGTCCTTCCTAGAAACCTAAGGTGGATTTCTCATTCTGATGTAACATAAGGAATGTAGGAAGAGCCCTGTTGGATCATTCTGTAGTCCATCTAGTCCAGCATCCCGTCGCACACAGTGGTCAGCCAGTTCTTCTGGAGGGCCAGCAACAGGGCAGAGAGGCCGAGGCCTTCCCCTGATAAGGACATCAGAAGAGCCCTGCTGGGTCAGACCAGTGAGGGTCCCTCTAGTCCAGCCTCCCGTCTCACACAGGGGCCAGCCAGTTCCTCTGGAGGGCCAGCAACAGGGCAGAGAGGCCGAGGCCTTCCCCAATGTTGCCTCCTGGCTCTGGGTTTCAGAGGATTAGTGCCGCCGAATGTGGAGGTTCCCCTTAGTCACCATGGCTAGTAGCCGCTGATAAACCTATCTTCCATTGATCCATCTAATCCCCTCTTAAAGCTGTTTATTCCTGCTACTCCATCCTCTGGCAGCGAATTCCATATTTGAATCACTCTTTGTGTAAAGTGGTATTTCCTTTTGTCTGTCCTGAACCTACTGCCCATCAGCTTCATTGGATGCCCTTCAAGTTCTAGTATTTTGGGAGAGGGAGAAAAAGTTCTCTTTCTCAGCTCTCTCCACCCCATACATAATTTCATAAACCTCTCTCATGTGTCTCCCCCCCACACACACACACACACTTAGTTGTCTCTTTTCTAAACTGAGAAGTCCCAGTCTCTTCAGCCTTTCCATCCCCTAAATCATCTTCGTCTCCCTCCTCTGCACTTTTTCCAGCTCTGCAGTGTCCTTTTGGAGAGACGGCGACCAGAACTGCACACTGCATTCCAAATGTGGCCGCACCATAGATCTATACAGGGGCATTACAGAATTGGCCGTTTTATTCTCAATCCCTTTCCTAAGAATCCCTAACATAGAGTTTGCCTTTTTCACCGCTGCAGCACACAGGCTTGACGCTCCCATTTTGCTTCCCAAATTCCAGAAGCATCCTCAGCCATTGCCTTCATAGATGACACCCCACCAATATTCACTGAGAAAGAATTGATTCAAGTCCAAGTACAGCCCACAAATTTGCTTCTTCTTCTCTTTGGTTTCTCGGCTGCTTCTAACAACTGATCGAGTGATTCAAATAGGGTGGGGTGCAGCCTTGGTTGAGTCACTGTGGTCCATTTGTGGCTGGAAATTGCCTTCATGGAAGCTTGAGCCGGATTGCTTCTTGGCATGTGTGTGTGTGTGTGTGAGAGAGAGAGAGACAGACAGACAGAGAGACAGACAGACAGGCAGACAGACAGACAGACAGACAGAGACAGAGGGAGAGAGAGACAGAGACAGAGAGAGACAGAGACAGAGAGAGACAGAGAGAGAGAGAGAGAGAGAGAGAGAATTCTTCCCAGTGAAAAAGTGCAGGAATCCACCTCCGATCCATCAGGCACCCCTGCCTCCTTCTTTTGAGATGGACGAACCTTTAGGGAAAGGACACAAGCGATGCCTGGAGGCCGGAGAGAATGCGGAGGAAGACCTGGTCAGAGTTGCCAGACAGGGCCAGGCAGAGGGGAGCAGACGTGTGTTTGAAGCTTTGATACGGGAGGGCTGCTTTGCTTTCTGTACTATAGGACCCCACCCCCAAAGGTCCTGATGACACCTTCTTTGGAGCTCTCTTTGAAATCGTCAAAAAAACATTGGCAAAAAGCACACAGTAATGACTCACCAGCTCTTCCCCAGAAAGCGATACCTGACTCTCGGGTGATGGCCAAAGATTGCCAGGGACTGTGGGCTGGCAGAGTGTTT